GTTCCAGGGATATGTTTTCTTTTCTGGATGCCATGAAATGAGATATATTTCACCACTGAAGACCACCATGAAGGCATTCAGGATTTTATATACTGGACTATTAATTTGGTGATGTTTCCTATTGTGGAATTTAAGAGGGATAATCTTAAAAATTTTTGCATGAAAACAGTTTATTTGAACATAAAGCTGTTTTCCTGTTAATATTTTTGGTTTGCCAGCTTTCACTGGGTGTGTGTGTTAAAATGATTCAGGTTAGCCTTTTCAGGAGGAAGCGAATGTATTTTGCAATTTCCTTTTGTGTATTTTGCAAGTGGTGCAAATACCTGCCTTTGCTTTCATTATTATTATGAAAAATATCTGGTAATTTGTTTAAAAAGTTAAACCCTTACACATTTACTTGATAGGTTTTCTAAGTGTCGTAAAAATTGGGAGAGTTTTAGTTACAAAAGCACCAAGTCACTTGGAAAAAAGAAAATTGGATTCAACTTTGAAAACCAATTATATGTTAACGTTGAAATATATGTGCGTGAATTATATTGCATAATATAAGAGATTATAATAGTAAAGACTTAGGTTAGTATAAGATTTAGCATACTTTAAAAATTAATCCAAAGTTGTGTTTCAAAACTTCAGGTGGGTGTAAAGCTTCTCATATATATGTTTGAGACCTTAGATCTCTGAACTGCCCTGCATGAGAATTAAGTATTTGTTGTTCATGTGGTAATTAAACTCTAGATTTCTTTTAAGCTTCACTGACTCTGAAATCGTTTTGTGTATTATCCCATCCTCAATCATCCTGAAAAATATGTGCTATCTAATTTCTCCAATCAGTCTTCTCTCAGTGAAAATAGAGATCTTTCAAGGTGTGTTATTTGGGTTTATTAAGAATCTCATGATAGGCAGTTGCTCATAATACCCAATCAAGTGTGAGTAAGCTATGCCAATGATGTTGCAGTACATGTTAAATTCCTTATATTTTGAGAGACAGTTAACAAAAGGACAGAAGCATATGTTTTCCATTAAGATGACTGGAAAATGCTTTCCTCAGAACAAATAAGTAAGTGCAAAGAGCATTGAATACATGTTAAAATATCTTATGTAATAAATTTTTCTATGACTGCTGGAAGCTGTTAATTTTGATAGGTTATGGGATTTGTATATCTCTCTCTTTTTATATTTTCACTCAGTGATCTATATAGTCAATTTTCCTTTAGTTCCTTCCCATTCAGAAACATGCATATTTATAAAATTCTTAATGTCTATGAGAAATGAGTCAATAGTTATCTATTTAAAGTCCCCCTGCAAAGCTGAATATTTATGAAATAATAGCCTATTGCTACCATTCCCACCTGCTAGTGAGAGTATATACTAAAATGAATGCTGAAATCCAGTTAGATTAGGAGATTTACTGATAATGTCTTCCTCTCAGTTGATGAAACTGGCAATTGCTTTTGGAATGTAATTGCTTATAATATTAATCATTATTACTTCCATGTAATATTTTGGGAGGCTTTTTTTCTGATGAGAGAATGGGCCTGTGAAAATGGTTTCTGCAAAATTAATCCAAGGTGGAAGGGGATTAGCTGCAGAATGCTGGACAAGTACATATTCTATGTGTGCAAAGCCATTTTACAGCCCATCTTAGTCCGGATCAATAACCTCTATCAACTTGAGGACCATGACATAATTTTATCTTTTTTGAAAATTCATACACCAGAGGTCTATGGGGTACTCACAACCTGTTAATAGGTGTTCTTATTAAAGAGGACTTCTCAGTACTTTAGATCCCAAGTAGAGGTGATAGCATTATTTGATTACAGTGAGTTCCCAAGGTTTGCAAAGTGAGGAGGTAGAACTGGAGCTGCCCAGAGCTCTACTGAATCTGCTCTCATTTAGGTGATATGGACACCTGAGACAAATTCAAAGGCCATATCACTTCACAATTAGTTCAGTTATGGGCCAGAAGGGATAGGTTTAGTATATTAAGTCCCCAAATACGTTATTCACTGTCCTTCTCATAATCGGTTTGCCTAGCTATTTGCTGTGATGACTTAGCTTTTAAGAAGCTATTGATAATTTTAACCTGTTTGAAAGCACAGCAGATAGACACAGTGCCATTAAGTAGTTGAGGTTAAGGTGTAAATAATATTCTATTTTTACATCATTGTATTTTCTTTGAAAACTCCATAATTATACTTTAATAACAAATTCCTGATTTTCAGAGGCTGCTTTTCCATTGTGTGTCATGGACGTTCATAGATTTAATTTCTTACTAATTTGAAGTTAAGAGGATTTCCTTTGAAGTGTATGTGACACTGAAAAGTAAAAAGACCCTGAAATGCATGATACATAATGATAGTATAAATATAAAAATTAGAACGAAATCAAATAATTATGTTAAATAACAGCTTAGTGTCCCTCTGCTCCTGATCTGTAATATGCCGTGGTCAATATCTTTTTCTGTGTCAATGGGAGCTCATTAAATGTAAACTCTGCAGACTAACTGAGCCATGCCATATTAGTGCTTGCCAAAGCTTGACATTTTTAATACATTAATAATATGTCTGTAATGTAATGGAAAACTATTAATCACAACTGGTTGTGTGCCAGAAATTTAAGCTATAATTGGCTGCTTCTTGTCAAGAATGTCTGTTGCACAGTCCTGCAACTGCCTAATATTCAAATATCTTGCACTCCTCTGCATTTTTCCTTGTCAGTTCTCTAAATTCGATCAATGGTGTAGTCCATAATTCTGTGTAATGACCATCATTATAATTCTGGTATACTTTAATGAGAATTCGTTATATTGGGATTGCTATTGTGTCAGGAGGTAGCAAAGGGTTCACATACATTTCCTGAGTGTTCAAATTTTTCATGTACAAATGTATGGTCGCCCTTTGTTTTGTGGTTGCAGTAATGTGAAATGTGGTTGAGGAGGGCGTAACCGAGAATAAATGCATGAGGAGAATATCATTTATTGGTTAAAATAGATAGTGAAGACTAATCTCAGGAAGCATTCAAATATATATTTAAAATGGTGTTTTGAAAATTATGTTAAAAATAAACACACAATGCTCACTCCATTCAAACTCAAAACAGTCAATTCCAGGTCTTCAAGATTATATCATTCTTGATAAATCAGTTGCTATGTATTTGAAACTAAGAATTAAAGGTAATAATTTCTGACCTAGTAGATTTTACACTGCTTCCATTGCAATGCCTACATCTCCCCGCCTCTTGGAAAGTATTTGTTTCCTCTTTTAAAATGTAGTAAACACAGTTGAAGAATCCATCCCAACAATGTAGATTTGTATCATTTTAACACCTTCTCAGATTATTAATTGTCAAATTGTTAGCTGTGTCTGAAAATATCCACTTAAAATTACTAACGAATCTGAAGAAAGCAGAAGGCTGTAGTAGCCACAACACATGCTTCTCTGATTTTTTTTCTTTTTAGCTTAAGATTTCAAAATGTGCTTTACACTGTATAGTCTTTAGGTTACAAGGAAGAGGCTGATTCAAAGCTGTAGTTTATACATGTTTAGACAAACTACTAATTACTGCTTCATAGGAACTCAAATATTCAACACTTTTTCTAATAGAAAATATCACAAATTGCAGCTGTATGATAACATTTTATGAATTGAATATAATGAAAATTGCACTTGCATCCATAAAGCAATTATTATAAATTACTTTGCTATGGAAACACAATTCAGCCATCTGTTGGCATTTCATAGTCTCTGTGGCTTAGTTCATTTTAAGATGGTACATTATTTAAATAAAATGAATTCCCTTTATAAGATTGTTTGAAGATAGTGAGCTTCCATATTTCAACTCTTTAATGTGAATTGAAGGGTCTATAATAGAATTTTCCAAAACCATAGGCTTTTTAAAAATCCTTTTCGCATTGCTTAAAAATCAATTAATTTTTAGACTATAAATATGAATAATCTAATTAAGAAAATATACTTTTTAATGCCTGGTTTTCAAATGTTAGCTTTTGTTTAGATTTGGATAGTGATCTCTAAACAGAAAAGGGGCCAGTTAAACTCACCAATGACTTTTACCCATAGTTATGTAGAGTGCATTATCAGTTAACCAAAAGTACTTTTACACAGTAATTTTTATTTTTTCTTAGAATTAGTGCCATATTATTCTGCTTCGTGGCCTGTTAACTCACCCTCGACTATTTTTATATGTGCATTTTAAATTGTGCGTTTTACTACAGAGCTTTTAGTTTTAAAACAGCTTATAATATTCGCCTTTGGGACAAATTCCCTTCTGTTACAGAATGTAACAGCAAATGCAGATGTAATGGCTATAAAAAGATATAAAAATATAGAAAATTCTTATGAAAGGAAATTTTGCTCCTTTGGTTTTATTTTTGAGTATTTTATTCAGAGAGCCAAGTTATCTTTAGTACTAAATGCAGCTAAACAAAAGATGCTAAATTCTTCAAATATAATGAACAAATCCACAGGGACTGGCTCATGCCAACAAGGCTGATTTTGACTCCAGCAAACAAAAGCTAAGAGATGTACAAGGAATTTGGAGATTTTTAGGGTCTCTTTGCCAAGAGACAAAAGGGATATAAGTAGTTGTCATTTCTTTGTCACCGTTATAAAAGCGCTCATTTACCCCATTGTTCTCTTGGAAGATTTTCTAGCATTGCAGCATATGAGAAATGTTTAAATCTAGATGCTTGCTCTCAGTTTTGTCAAGATGGAAATATAAATTTTGAAGTGAAAACCTGTAACTCACCTAGAACACACGTGTCTGTCTTTGTTATGGAAGAGTTAAATCCTTCATATCAAAATTCCCCCCTACGTGAATGATTTCCGCGGTTTGCTCATTCTAGCAAAGCAGCTGAGTAAAGGTTATCTGTATTACACCAATTTGCTTTATGTTGCATCAGACCTCCAAAATGTCAACATATTGTGCATTTCGTAATACACTGATTCTGGGACAATAACTCTTACTCTTATTGTTTCTAAAAGGGTGTTGGTGCCGGAAGAAAAGAATGATTGATGGGAAACAGACATCGGGCTATAGACACTCATCCTTTTGCTTCAGACACTGATATCTCAGCCTGCCTGAGCATCCCTTGTGAGCTGTGAACATTGAGGACCACTCAGGGTTATTGGATGTACAACAGGAGAGCCATCAGTTTGCTAAATTATTATCTGCAATTGGACATCGTTTACCAAAACCAAACTAGACCTGAATCTAATAGATATGTTCTAGGACAAGGAAAGCTGCAAGTTGTTAACGCCTAACACGCAAGTATGTTAGGCTTCCACCAAAGTCCTCAATATACCTGAATATGCACAATATCTTAACTCTTCATATTTGGTTTTGGAATCTGCTTTGAGGTCCCATCCTCGTGTTTTTTTTTTTGTTGTTTTTGTTTTTGTTTTAAATATACAGACCTACCTACCCAGATACATATATACATATATGTATATATATGTAAAATAGACAAAGATTGCAGATCATAAATCAAGCTCTGCTTTGGTTTCCAAGAAGATTACAAAGAATTTAGAGATGTATTTGTCAAGATTCCTGTCGATTCATGCCCTTTGGGTTACAGTGTCCTCAGTGATGCAGCCCTACCCTTTGGTATGGGGACATTATGATGTGTGTAAGACTCAGATTTACACAGAAGAAGGGAAAGTTTGGGATTACATGGCCTGCCAGCCGGAATCCACAGACATGACAAAATATCTGAAAGTGAAACTCGATCCTCCGGATATTACCTGTGGAGACCCTCCTGAGACATTCTGTGCAATGGTGAGGTAACCCTTTTGCATAAAATATTTTATATAAATAGGGTCTAATCGCATATGCATACAAATGTGGTGAGTGTAAAGACAATTCACGCAATAAGTTGAATCTGTAGGTGGCAGATTTGTGTTAACAGGCTAGTTTCTTTCTCAGTGGAGGCTTATACTGCTTAGAATTATAATTTGCACAGTGTGATTGATGCCCTGGAAGGAACTTACTTTCTGCTTCCCTGAAAACCAATAGTTTTACTAAGGCAGCTACACTATAACACATATTATAAAAGAAAAGGTCCAGTTGAAGGTTAAATTTTAGATTGGAGGTTAGAAATATGATGAGGTCATATCTGTCATGTTAAGGATAAAATGCATTGGCAAACCAACTTTCAAAACACAAATGTTTCTTCACATATGTATATAAGGCCAGTCTTAAATTCCATAGTTTAAGGAGAGACTAGATCTCATAATTATCTCCGTCAGAAAGCTGCTATGATTTGGGAGTCCTTGGTTAGGAGACCAGCAAGAAAAAAAGGTACAGGAGCGAGAGACTAAAGCCTTGTGAGAAGTTTTTCCAGAAAAACCTTATTTGCCAACTCCCCTCATTTTCAAGGTCATAGTTTTCTATGTATATTTTAAAGATGACTTTTGGAACATAGAAAACTTATGTGCTAAAAAGTAAGGGCTCACCATACATAAATTCAGATACTTTTCTTTTGATTGGCAAAGTTATAGAATTCATTGCTCTCATGGCTTATATAAGTCTTTTTTTCTGCATGGAAAGTTAAATACCATTTGAAAGGTAACATTGGGGTAACACACTGAATTTTTACAAAAGACATAGCTAACAATATTCCTGTAAGTATTAGTAAAGAGGCTGGTGATTCAAATGGTATACATTAATGTGCTAAAGGGTTCAGATGGTGAGTTCATTTGGTTTATGTTATTTTTTATTATAAGTGGTTTTTATTTGATACAAGAACTGTGATCCCATTTTGTCTCCACAAAACAGATAAAATTGTATGGCAGATTTTAATAGTATTCTTACCTGACTATATTATCTTGAACCTGGCCTGGCATTTTCAGGATAGTGAAACTATTAATCAAAGCAGCATCTGTTCACAGTCCCCAGTGAGTTAAATTAGCATAAGATCATCTTAGACCCAGCACTGTAAAAAAGGTTTTGTAACAGGAAACAATTTTGAGCAATAAAGAGTGTTTTCACCTAAAAGCTAAGGGCTTGCCATTTTTCAGAAGTGCCTTTGGGGACTGGTTTGAATTATAGTCTAAACCTGATTTTGTGGAGAGTGAGAAAAAATGCTTGGCTATTAGGTGTCACTGTAACTAAAGTGCCCTGAAAGACTAAATATTTCAAAGAGAGGACCCGTCTCTCTGGGAACAGGTATGTGCTTTGCAAAGCAGAGACTTCCAGAGAAGAAGTTTATTCAAACACATTAGCAAAACCATAATAAATCTGTAAAGGAGCAGAGACATTTGTGGTGGCTTTATGTGAGGCCTTTAATAATTTCTCATAAAAGTTCAAATATAAGATCTCATTACAAATCCGGATTGCTGTTTGAGTGAAAACTTGTGTCGTCTTCTGCTTCTTACAGCAGAGGATGCATTCTGGACCAAGTCTTCATATTATTAAGAACACTCTAGCTCTGTATATTGTTTACATGACACCTGTAACAACATGTCTCTTTTGGAATTGTTTCATAGTTTACAGATCTAAGTAAAATAGTAAATTTTCTTTCTAAGGGTGCTGTTCCCTCTCATAGGCCCTATATGATGTTTTCAAGGTGTGATTTGTGGGTGCAGCTTCCCTGATTTCAGTCTGAGGCCACAGAATGCTTGCTCAGCACTGCTCCTGCCTGTCATGTTGAAGGGTTTACTTGGTGTCTTCAGCATGCGTCTTTCTCCCATTATGAGTGCAAAGAGCATGTTACAGATCTTCCCATGCCTGCCTTTCAGAAGGACATGGTCTAGGGTATTTAAACAAGTCAATTCCTCTCAGTCCACTGGCTAAGTGATGTTAGAGACCAAATGGGAGAAAATAATTAAAATAATATCCCTCAGCTTTCTCAAATGCGGTAATGTGTATGCTTTGCATGTTCACATGAAACTCTGCAGAACAGTCTTTAAAAAGCTGCATCTTAGTGTGATGCAGATATTTGGAATCCTTGGTGGATGTAAACTTGTCATTGGACAGAATGGTTTTCCAAGGGAGAATGTAAGATTTCTGAAACATTACCTATCAGTGCTTAACTGTATTCCTTAATATGCATAAGATTGGCATAACAAATTTAGTAATCTATCTTTTAAATATACATCTTGGGACTATTTGTATGCCTATCATATACCATGTCAATGGTAATGGCCTGATACAGCAACACTTCCTCTCTGCAGCTTTAGATGCTTCATAAAACTCTTTAGTATAAGGATTCCTGACACAAGGTTAGGAAACTGTTTCAGGATGCTGTCATATCAAACCTGTTTAGCTACTCCTTAGTCCAGGGTCTAATAGGGATCCATGAAGTCATTTGTGTTATGACGTACACGTTCTCCCTTCCTTGGCATTCACATGCATACCTGCTCCCTGGGGGTGGTTATGGCCTATTACATCAGGGGAGCTGCCACATAAGCACAGCCACTCCTTAGCCCCTATATGTAAATGTTCTCACAAGATAGTTTCAGTAATCACTTGTTCAGCTAGTTACACCCTTATTAGCCGTGGCTATAGCGGTTCTGAGCACTGAGGGAAAATGTGGTCAGGGAAACACCTATAATTCCCAGGACCGATTTCTTTAATATAAAGTTGAAGTTCATTGGCATTGCATTAAGAGTCCGTGTTGCTGCTTTTTTCATTGGCCTCATCATTATATGCCAGTGACTGTCCACGAATATTGTATTTGTTTTAATATAGAGGAAAATTTCAGGAAAAAAAAGGAGCATATGGATTCCATTTAACAATAGATCTCTGCTTATTAACCTGGATGCCATACTTAATTAATAGTCAATGTCAAGTACTTTAAAATTGCTCTGTATTAATCGTACCAGTATTTATAAACATTAGTTTTTCAGGAGAGCACTGCCATTTCTATTAATCATAATGAATGAGGAAGGGGAATGTGTATATATGTACATATATACATATATACATAAATTGTGTATATTGAAAACCATGCATTTTCTTTTTAATTTGATATATTCCTTTTGAGTTGATGATGGCTAAAGAAAATCTCTGTTTTCATCAATGGGGAAGAATCTGAAGGGAAGATGGAGGTTAACCCTTTTTTTAGGCTGGGATAACACATTTGAATAGATCCTATCTTTTCAGCCACACTGAAAGCTTCAGGTGGCAGAGCTTTATGGGGAAACACAGATCATCTAGTGACTACAGTTTGTTTCAATTTGCATAAAGAGCAGAGAGGATGATCTGAACCTATGTGTAAAGCTGAAGTGTCAACACAAAGCTATGACTTGTTCTTTGTGTTTAGACAAACTTAGCTGTCATATCTTCCCTCACACCCCAGTGGCTTAAAAATGGCAAAATTATCTGCAATTATCTCTAGCCTGCAGCTAATTTTCAGGATAAGTTAAACAGACGCTTTGAAAAGAAGCCTACAGACGGAAGAACTCATGTGCGTTTGTACAATTTATGGTGCAGAAGTGCTGATGACTGTGGAAATGGAAGCCCCTGAGTGCTGCTATGGATTTCAGAGCCAATCAAAACTAAATTAGGAAACAAAGATTATTAAAAAGTCTTCTGTGCATGTAATTTTGGCATAATATTATAAGGTGGACATTAAATGTTTCCCTTGGAGATGCTCAGCATCATTAATGCAGCATGCCTTTAATTACAAGTAGACTCATATTACTAAAAAATTGGAGAAAATAAAATACTCTGAGGTATAGTTAGCAATAACCTCATTATGTTTACTGAAATAATTAAGAGAAAGGCATAATTTTTTTAAATAAAATGTCAGAATTGGAAACGAAAATGGATTTTCCTTGGGAAATTTACTAATGTGTGCCTGTGCTCTCGATAGGCATTAATTCAAGTACCTTAACAGATCTATTAATGATCATTCCATATTGTGCTATTTCTAGATAGACTTCTGTTATGAAAAAAAAACTTTAATTATTGTAAGCACTGTGGATAGAGCATGTTTCATTATGTTCAAATGGGATTTACAGAAGTGTTAGAAAGCCTTTGTGTTTTGTGGTTTTAAAGGAACCCTGAGAAATGAGTGACTGGTAACTCGTAGTCTCAGAGCTATCTATAACTTCGAGTTCTGACTTACCTTTGGCTCAGGTTACCATCTGGTGGGTATCAGGTGGCCCTTGAGAAATTATTTGATAAACTCAATTACATTTTTGAGGACATGTAATTAATATCAATTTTCCAAAAACTGGAAATGACATTAACTTATATAATAATCAAATAATCTTAAAAATGCAGTTTGTTCACATGAAACATAATTCAATAAATGAATGATTTTTAATAACAGTGACATCTTTCATTTGAACTGATTTATCCCTTAATTATGCCAAATGGAATTTTTTAAAACCTTCAGTTCTTTAACTATTAACACTTCATTGTTATTAGTTCATTATTTAGACATTTCTTAAAAAAGTTTAACTCATGTTTGGAATGAATTAAGTTCCAAGGAAATCAGTCTTTCTGACATATCACTACATCAAGTATTTCCTTTTTGAGGAGCCTACAATAGCTCCTTATTATCTACGGCATCAAGCCTAACGTACTCTAGCTGTTTTTGAATTTGGGTGCATACAGCTTATTGCCCGCTACTTCTCATCAGGACTCTATAACCTCTCCAGGGGATTATGGCTGGCAATCTGATGGGAAGGGGACAACTGGATTTGGCTTGAAGATGCATGGCTTGTTGGGAAGGTCTCAGGAGGGAATTGATGAAGATTACGGCAAAGGTCACAAACCTAAAACCACCTTGTCATTTATTGCCCCAGATAGTGTGCGTAAGTGCTCTT